TGCAGATTGGTGGCCAGCAAAGGCTCCTTTCCAGCCCACGTAGTGAATTTACAGTTTGGGCTTGTAATGACAACCTTCCCTGCCCACTGGGCTGGGAACTTCACGGGTGGTAGGGCCGGGAATTCACAGACCATGTGGGCATGTAAATTCCCAGCCCAGCGCGTGTTCAGGTGCGTTGCCACGCCGGGTCGGTAAAATTCACGCTGGATTTTTTTACCGTGCACTGTGGGCAAAAACAATAACTACTTTGGCCGGAAACTGGTGGTGAAAGGGAAGTGAAAGGTATTGCAATTTATAGTTTTATTTCTGGGGTTGCGTGAGAACTATAATTTATACTCGGCGGACAACTGTGGTCAAAAGCAATACAAATTTGGGCCCAAAACTGGTGGTGCAAGGGAAGTGAAAGGTATTCCGGTATACCGCTATATTGTTAAAAGTCACCAGAAACACAATTCGTAGTACGTGGTTAAGCATAGCAAACAACATAAACCATTTTGGATGCCAAATTGCTGGTGAAAGGCAAGTGAAAGGTATTCCGATTTATATTTTAATTTTTTGGGGTTGCGCGATGAACATCATTTATACTCCGCAGACCACTGTAAGCGAAAACAAAAACAATTTTGGACCGAAACTGGTGGTGAAAGGAAAGTGAAAGGTGTTGCGAATCACCGCTTTACTATTGAACGTGACCAGAAACACCATGCATAGTACGTGGTTTAGCATGGCAAACAACATAGACCATTTTGGATGTCAAATTGCTGGTGAAAGGTAAGTGAAAGGTATTGCGATTTATATTTTGATTTCTGGGGTTGCGCAATGAACATCATTTATACTCCGCAGACCACTGTGGGCAAAAACGATAACAATTTTGGACCGAAACTGGTGGTGAAAGGAAAGTGAAAGGTGTTGCGAATCACCGCTTTGGACCACTGTGGACAACTGTAGCCATAAACAAAAACTATTTTTTCAACAAACTGGTGGTGAAAGGGAAGTGAAAGGTATAGCGATTCATCTTATTATTTTTAGGGGTTCACCAGGGACACCATCTATACTCCGTGTGGCCCACTGTGGCCAAAAACAACAATTTTGGCCCGAAACTGGTGGTGAAAGGGAAGTGAAAGGTATTACGATTTATCTCTGTATTTCTGGGGTTGCGCGAGGAACATAATTTACACTCCGTGGACCACTGTGGTCAAAAGCAATACTCGGGATGGCACCTCCTACGGAGTAATGGGCTGACCAAAGGCACGTACCCGTCCCAAGCGCCTGCAGGTACGAGCATATGCAACCCAAAGAACTGTTGCTTTTGGAACACCTGGTACACATCACGTAGTCCCCAAACATCTTTAGAGCCATTTTCTGTGTCGTGAGGATTCTTTGTGGTGAAGCACTGCTCCATCACGACCCAGAAAATATCACGTCACCACACAGAATCCTCACCACACAGAAAATCACCACACAGAATCATTTCTCTCACCACACAGAATCCTCATGACACAGAAAATCACCACACAGAATCCTCACGACACAGAATTCAACCCGGGACTGATTCACGACACAGAATCCTCACGACACAGAATCCTCACGACACAGAATTCAACCCGGGACTGCTTCACGACACAGAATCCTCACGACACAGAATCCTCACGACACAGAATTCAACCCGGGACTGCTTCACGACACAGAATCCTCACGACACAGAATCATCACGACACAGAAAATCACCACACAGAATCCTCACGACACAGAAAATTCTATTCTGTGTCGTGAGGATTCTGTGTGATGAATACACCCCGATAAAATGGACTTAAGCTGTCCTAAAGCTACGTGTAAGTCGTTACGAAGCAGAAGAGGTTTGTACGCGAGGCCGCAATGCCCAAGATAAAGGTAACCGTTTCAAAACTAAATTTGAATTTCTACAATCGGGAAAATAAAGATAAATAAATAAACTACACCCTCCTCTCCTCCCATTACAACATATATCGTATATATTAGCCCCTACTTTAGTTGCAGAACCAACAGATAGTCCGAGTTCACTCACCTATTCATCGAGTCGTGCCGAAACCAGTGGCGCCAACTTCAGCAAGCATACACGCAGTATAGTCATGGTCCCTGAACGGAGCCCTAGAAGCTACGCGGCAGGCAGCAGTTCTCACAGATTTGACACAGGCAGAAGACGCACCTGCGAGCACGTACGCAATCACCGATCTGAAAATTGAAAAGAGAGTCATTAAAACAAGCGAAAGATGAGTCCAGTTACATCAGTGAGTACGATTAAATGTTTAGAGCGATAACATTAGGGACCCAACATAAGATATGTATAAAATACGATACACCCCACTCAGGCATTCATGCTGTTAAACGAATACCCGGAACATATCTGTGAATCCCAAACTTGCAGCTAAATCAAACAACTCACAAGTGACAAAAGAACCAACGACCAAAACGATAAACAAGGTAGATGTACGCCAGACCACGTCCCGCGTAACAGGCTTCGCGATATCTCACGAAACACTGTTACGCTGCGACGCGCCTGGCATACATCTACCTTGGCCTGCGGCGCTGACACCCGAGTCGGGT